CAAATACACAAGCTCCATACTACAATCTTGCAGGTTTATAAGCATGAACTATTGTTTGATATGCAAATTGGTAGAAGACAACTTTTTGGAAAGTCCAAAAAGAAACAAAAGATAGACAAGTCAAGACAAGGTTGATGTAAATTAGTGAAGAAGCTCCTGTTGTTTCAGAACAAGAGCTTAAGTGTTGTCTGACCTTGGGGCCAAGAGCGCCAAATCCCAAGTGCCAATTTTTCCTGCTGCAAAATTGCAGATTGTATAAATTTTTCTTCTGCAATCTTGAAAATCTATCTGCAGATTGCAGACTGCAGACAGGTATTTCGAACACTGTTGATTGAAATCTTTAAAGTTTAATGGTACATGTAACATTTATTTCAAACACGAAGCAGTGAATAGGAGAAAATTAATGTGAATTCATCAGGAAATGCTGACTACATGTATATAATTTGCTGGCTGAACAGTCTGTACTGCTGTGTAACATGTTTTGGATGACATATTCCCATCAGGAAATATATGGAATTCCAGAAAACGAGATGTTTCCAAGATTACTGCAGACAGCAATTAGGTAAATATGAATATCACAATTTTTTTTGTTCACTAGCACTCACTCATGTTTCAATCAGTGGTTATAATACCGGTAATGAAATACCTTTATTGTACATTCATGATGCCGATATAACAGATATAACAGACACATAACAAACGTATATAGAAAACTGGTGACAAAAGATTCACTACTTGACTTAGACGTACATACATAAAGAACATACAAGGGTACTATTCTAGGCTAATACAAAGTGTTCTAGTCACTGAGCTAATATAGAGACTGGTCAACTTCTTCTCGCTTTATAGGAAATGACCAGGCTTTATGACACCATATACACCTCGGGGCGGGTCATTAACCCTTAATTATGCAATACGATTAATAAAATGACTTGTCAAGTTATGACTAATTGAGCTCAAGATTCAAAGTAGAAAATAATTACAGCTTTTACTGTGTCGTCTTTTTCATGGTGTCAGGAAGGTTTATTTTTTTATCAATCTGACCTTATTTATAGGTTTGCAGATTCTCATCCCTGGGAACTCCATACAGCTGGCTTATTATGGAAGCCATGTGTCCTCACAGTGGGTCAAACATGTGGTGTGGACGGCAGAACCCAGACTAACAGATGTCCAGAGGAAAACATCCTGGCAAAGTCCTCTCTTGTGGAAGAGCAAACTCAGGGAAGTGAGGAAAATACCACATTGCCAGGTGCCATGGGGAAGTTAACGTTAGAAGATGGACACCTGAATGCAAAATCTGAGCCGACTTTTGCAGAAAATAAGACTGACTGTTTTTCCCACCGTGACCCTTTAGTACAAAACTTAGAAATGACATATGAAGAAAGACTTTGTGAGCAGGTAAACACCAACGATAGTTCTGCGAAGTGTGAAGAATTTGATGGTTCTGCTCAGCAAAAC